ATCTTAAAAAATATTTTAAAAGATATTATAATAATGAATATCAACAAATCTTAAAAAAAAAATAAAGAAAAACAGATAGAAATACATAAACAAAATCAAATTACAAGACAAAAAAAAAAAATCAAAAATCAAAAAAAAAAATTTGAATAAAAGAAATATTTTAATTAATAAAATAATATTAATACTATTACAAAATATTATTCTCTAGTTCAAATTGAATATGATATTATTAAATATAAAACTAAGAAGGGTCTAGTACTCGTAGCTTAGTAGTTAAGCTGCCAACCTTTCATGGACAAGGTCAATAGTTCAAGACTGACTAGAGGCAAAAAATACTCTGTAACCTTATTTAAGGAGTCAATGATCAAATGTGAAATTACGTAAGAAGTCCAAGTGAAGTACAACATTCAAAATAGGAATTATTAGAAGCGGACTATCTTGTGGAGAGGTGGCACTACGTGTGACAGTCAGTGTTACAGAAGTTGGTTACACAGTAGTGCAAAAAAGTTAGTCCATATTGGCAAGAGTATAGTAGAAACCAACATCATTACATAGTGTAACAGAATTACTTGGGAGAGTTACACAATAACTAGCTGAATAGTGAGAAAAGCAGGGATTACACAAGATACGATTAAGTAATAAGATATTGGCCTTACCGAATATGGAATACCTCTGGCAAACACAAAAACTTAAAAGAGTAGGTTCCTGCTGCAGAGTAGATAGTTCATACGCTGAGGACGGTGTTGCGTACTATATTCGGTCCAGCATCAAAAACTGGACTGGACTGGACCGTTCCACTGGAACTAAGTCCAGTTCCAGTCCAATTTACCATGTCCAGTTTTCACGTGATCAAAATAACAAATTTTGATTGGATATAGGTTAAGTAGCACAGATTTCCTGAACTACGAATCCAAACCCAAGTAAAAGAAGAAGTAATTGTTGAATACCAAAGACTTTACAATTCCCAAAAAGAAAATATCCAACAAACTCAAAAGGTTAAAGAATACGCGCCACAAAGTTTTTTGTTTAAAGTACATATTGGTATTGAGAGTTACAGTAGATAATTTTTTTAAATGTCTTGTTTTAGTAATGCTATTATTATAAACGTGGTTATTTCTGCTTTAATTTGTTGGTCAGTATGAATTTTCTTCGCAAAGATTTTAAGAATTAAAATATACTAATTTTTTTTATGTTTTAGTTTGGACTAAAAATGCTGGTAAGATTAAAGAAAAATGGAAATAATTTTACAACGATCAGTAATATTGACATTAAATTGATAAAATAAATTTTATCACGAATTCATTAATTCATTTGAGTTAAAGGGAATACCTGAAGGTGAATATTTAAGTTTTCACAGTAACGAATTTGGCTCTTAAAGAGTTATTATATATATTACATATTTGCATTAATGATCAGTGTGGTCAGTGTTCTGGTAATTTTAATTCTTCAGGAGCCAATTTGCCACTGTGAAAACTTAAATATTTATCTTCGAGTTTTCCCTTGGCAGCACTCATTTTATTTGTATAGTTAAGTATAAACATTTATTAAAGAAAATAAGCTATATATTTCATAAATATTATTAATTTTATTTTATTAGCGGACAAGCATAAAGAGCCTTTATTAATCGAAGTATTTAAACGAGCTAAAATCTCTATCATTATATAAAACACAGTGATTACTTGAAAAAAGGTATGAAAAGGCTTGGTTCGAGAACAAAGTTCCTATTACTCCTAGAATCGTTAAATTGGTTTTTATTTCAATATAATTTTCTTTTTGTCCTAATTACATGAAAGCAAAGAGTTTTTATATATTATACACAGCATCTAATCGAGAAATAAACTAATCTAACTATTTAAAATATTAGGAGACTTTATGACTAACGATGAATATTCATACTCATTTACACAACCACAGCCTTTGATTATATCATTCAACAACCAGGGATGCTGTATTATTGTTCTTTATGGAGCTCCGCCTTGAGCCAAACCCGAAATAGCATTTATTAAAGGGACTTGATATTCATACCTCCCAAAATTGTTATTCATACCCATCAAAATAAAAAATTTTAAAACTTTGAGCAAAGATATCTCAACAACTACCTGACCAATTCGATGAACTTTTCTTTATTTGAATTCTATGAATTCATAGAATTCAAATAAAAAAAGTTCATCGAATTTGGTCAGGTGGTTGTCAAGATATCTTCGCTCAAAGTTAGAGAAAAATTAAGACATCTATCAAATTAAAAGCTGCGCCAAAGTTTTTGTAGAACTTTGAGTGAAGATATCTCGACAACCACCTGACCAAATTCGATGAATCTTTTTTTTTTAAATTCTATGGATTCATAGAATTCAAATAAAAAAAGTTCATCGAATTTGGTCAGGTGGTTGTCGAGATATCTTTGCTCAAATTT